AGATTGCGGGACAGCCAAAGATAGATGCTCTGAAGAGCGTAGAGCTCTGTGCGGAGCATAGACAGACACAAGATCCGACACATATGGGGGGGGCAAGGCCGTTAATGGACTTAAATACAAATAGCAGCACCTTAAAGTCAACTCTAAATTTTACTGGCAGTCAGTGCAGCGAGAAAAGAACAGGGGTGATGTGGGCATATTCGACAAGAGCCGAGCCGCAGCGTTCTGGACGAGTTGTAGCTTCCGGAGAAGAGATTGAGAAATTCCGACAAAAAGGGCATTGCAGTAGTCGAGTCGTGAGGTGATAAAAGCACAAATAGCTTTTTCTAACTCAGCATGTGATAGGAAGGGCTTCACCTTCGTTAACATCTTCAGGTGAAAAAATGCTAGTTTTGACTACGGAGCTGACCTGCTTATCGAAGTTAAGGCTGCTGTCAAATATCACTCCGACGTTTCTGACAGTGTCAGTGACTAAGGGAGCCGAAACACCTAATTTGGATACAAGAGTCGCCGAAACGGAACTAAAGACAATATATTCAGTCTTGCTGTCATTTAAGTAAAGGAAGTTCTGTGATAACCAATATTTAACATCGCAAATACAGTTATGCAGGGGAGTAAGTGCGTTAGAGTCACATTGAATCAGTGGCATATAAATCTGGACATTACAAAGACTGATGCTTTTTGAACATATAATCGCCAACATCCTAGCTGAACAAAAACAGCATGACAAAGGCAGAAGGAATGCTGTGCATAAGAAAAAACCCACAACAATCAAACAATCAAAACCATGTTAACTGTCAGAGAAATCCACTTTATCAAGAGTTGACAAAAAGGTGCCATCCAGACCGTTACCGAAGAAACACTCATATTCATATCCTGTAAGACAAAAACAGTCCTTTTAAAACAGTCAAAAGCAAACATACCAAATAATCATCAGTCCTTGGGAGCAGTGCACCGCTTAAGCTCCAAATCAGTCAGGGAGTAAGGCAAAGCACTCTCTCTCAGTTGAGCCTTTCAGTTTTCTTCTGAATCTGTACTCATTTTCTTTCCTTCCTCAAGCAGTTCATTCTCTCCCTCTCCTTTCATCACATCTTCCCTCTCTTTTTCCCTCTCAGACACATCTCATGCAGGCACCTGCCTCACACACACACACACACACACACACACACACAAACAATACAATGGCGTTGCCCTGACAAGCGCACCCTCCCAGCATCTCTTTAGCTTCTCAAGGGGGTGAGACTGTGTATGTGTGTGTTTTATCTCACTATAAAAAGCCAAGTTGGACAGGTGCCATGGAAACAAATAGGGCATAGGTATACTAATTGTGCAAGATTTATTGCTGACTTACAAGAATTAGCAGAGATGGAAGAAGGGCATGGAACTATAAAAAAAATCTCACATTCATTAAGTTTAAAATAGTTTTGAGAAATAAATCTAGGCCTTAAAAATATGGCAGTTATGTTAGTGGCAATCAAGACAATCCAAGTAAATAAATGTCAAAAAAAGTTCCTAGTATAGGAGGAATCTCCACAACAACAAACTACAACAAACCAATGCTAATTTGTTCCAAAAGCTTCACATCTCCACAACAGACCAAACCAATGAGGCATTGCTCCAGTGACCTCAGGCAGGACAGCCAGATAAAAATTAAAAGGAGGAGACAAATGTGCATTCATGAATGTGCACATAAGGAAAAAAAAACACATTGCTATGCATTTAGGTTTACAGTTTATTTTGCCATCTGAATATTACTGCAAGATTAACATGGTGATTCACTGATGATAATCTGTTCAACATGATGTAATCTGATGTGAGGGAAGGGGGGAGGTCTAGCCTATGGAGGCCATATGTAAGCAGCAATATGGTTTTCCCACTCATCAATTCCCAGACCTTCTGTTTTCCACTGGCATTCAATTTACAGGTCACAGAATTTTCTCATTCATCTCCTTCAGACTGTCCTCTGAACCTCAATATCCATAACCCATCAAATGTTTTCCTCAGGCATGTCTATTCTTGCTCCAAGCAAAGTGAACTGCAGGTGTCATCCTATTACAATTTTTCATTTGCACTAAGAGCACAAAAAACAAAAAAAACCTCAATTTGCTTTCCTCTCCTGAATGTCTGTATGTGTGCGTCTAGTACCTGTGCCACCACAGTATCAAGTTGCTGTAACTGGGCCGTCAACTGGCTCATCTTGGCTGTGTAGCTGCGCTCCTTCTCCCCTTGTTCAGATGTGAAACTCTGCCTCAGATCATCAAGCTCTCTCTCCTTCTGCTCTTCACACTCCATCTACAAAGACAGTAGCGATGGTGGAACATAAATTAAAAGAGGTGCCGTAAACTGTAGGTTTTTTGGTAAAGATATCTCTGGCCATGCCTCGCCATCTTTTAATTACTGGCTGCACATTTCAGATGGTTTGATTTGATTTGATTCTTTCAAACATGTAACGACAGTCAATATGTCAACACACATAATTTCACACATATCCACAAATACATTATCAATTTGCTTATACCTGGTACATGCTTGAACGGAGTAGGAAGAAGTCAGACTTATCCAGTCCTACCCCATGACATCATCTTACCATCATTGGTTTGCAAGCAGTATCTCTACATAGAAAATTATGTTCTACACCACGCTAGTGATATACTAAAAAAAATTACAGACTGTTAACATTCTTACATAATTAC